ACGGGGTTCACTACGATGTATTGCATTTAGGTGGGTTTACTTTATATATCTGGCTTAACAAAGAAATGCCTATATCACTTCTAAAACTGAATAAAGCTACAATTTTGCTTTGCAAACACACTGGGCAAGTTCTAGGCATCAAATGTAGAGCATAGAACACAGTACAACTCACACACACATGGCACATGACTCACTCCAGATTGGCCTATCAAGACACTCTCGCTTGAGTATTCAAGTCATTTACAAACATACAATTTAAGGCACTCTAGCAAGAATCAACCACTGAGACTAAGCGTTACACTCTAGTGTCTATTGTGTTCAGGTGTATCAACGCCAAAGTTTCTCTTTCTATTTCAGCTCATAGCCCATCAATACTAACTAAAAACTAGAAATAAAATAAACAAAAACTAACTACACCTGGTTCAAGAAAAACCCTTGGAAAAGAACCATGGCCCAAAGAAAAACCAAGTGGGAGTTACTACACTATCTAAAAAAATCTTTTTGGTATTTTCTTTAGACTTACTTCCCTCAAGAAAATTGTCTAGAAGATCCATCATCAGGAAGAGTCCAACATATTCCTGTTTTTTTTTAGATTTTCACGTTGACTTAGACCCTCTAGAACCCTGTCGAAAGAGATTCGTCGTCGGGCCAAGTCAACTTACCTAATTTGACTATTACTCAAAACCACCAAAAACAATCAAGAAAAATAAAGAAAACATCAAACAGTCAAGTTGTTACATATACACACATACATTGAAGTATCCCTCACCCCACACTTAAAAGGAAGACATGTCCTCATGACATGCAAAGTAAAGAACAATGAGGTAAAGGAACTTCCCTGAAAGACCACTCTTGATCGGAGACCGTGTCTGGGTTCAAATTGCAAGCACGACCCAAAGCTCTCAGCCAGCGCAATATTTTCCTCTCCGATTTCACCTATTGGGCAGCCACCGCGTCAACATGTGTACCCAAGTCAGCGACCGAAGTACGTAATCCAGCCACCTCCTGCTCCAAATCTGTGAACCAGGTAACTCGAGCAACCCCAGATGGTGCTGCAGTCCCAGATGGCGCCGCAGCTGCTGCAATTTGCTCATGGGCCTGTGGCTCGACCCTCACATCCTCCTGCTCAGCCTCCTCCTCCTTAGAGTCATCAGATTCACCACTATCATCACCACCTGCTGCCACCGGCTCCTTCCCAGTAGTGACCTTATCTACTCGGAACTTGTGGCCTTTTGGCACTCTCTCATCCACATCCAAATTTTCTGGCACCTGAGCTTCCCGGCAAAGTCGAGTAACCAAGGAAGGGAAGAAGAACCCATACCTTTTCACCAGACAACAGGTGAACATCTCCTCATGAATCACTTAGGCCACGTCAAAGTTGTGACCATTTATAAAACACCAAATCAGAGCCGCTCGAGGACCATTCACCTCTGTAGTATTGGAAGACGAGATCAGGCGGTTTTTGATAACATACAACCAGCACTTCCCTTCAAAGGTTAGCGCTGCGGAGTGAAACTTCTGACCATGCTTCATCCAGACAATTTCCTTTCCGGGTACACAGATTGTTTCAAAGAACATCTCCCGATGTGTGTGTGATCTGCCATACCCCTCATAATAGTCTTCATATGGATCCACAGGAGGGGGCAACTAGTACATCCTCCGTATAGCCTCAACAGAGGCATCCACCGCGCACAGTTACTACGCCATTCACGTGTTCTTTTATATTGGCGTAGAACTCACGGACAACCATCACATTTCCCTTGTTCGGCTCATCAATGAAGATTTATAGCCCCGCCTTACTAGCTCATGATACAAGTGAGGTCATCCCAACTGGACTGACCATATATCTATACCCCTTTCCGGTATCGGTTTCTTAGGGGCCTTATCCGCAAAGTGGTCCTGAGCCTTGGCAGAGACAAACCTGCTACTATCAAAGGGACGAGCAGGAGCTGACCCACACGCCTTGGACGATCCAGCTTGACTGCTGGAAGAGGCACTTGTGGTGTGGCGTTTCCTAGATGGAGCCATAGTACCTGGAAAAGGAATAACATTAGCACAGCCCAACAAAAATGTGACTCAATACGGTTACTCAGACTTCATGCGCACAATTGGTCACAATTACTCATTTACACTCACTGTGACATTTAAACAAACACCTTGTGGGCATTATATACCCACACCTCAATTCAAGTATGTTGTAACCCAATACCACCACAATGTCCCCAAAATTACCTACTAAGTTAAACTACAACTCCACCAACCTTACCACCCACACTTACTACAACATACACTACAAATTTCTACTTAAGAAATGAAAAGAAAAAAACTACTACATAATTACAAAATGAAAACGAAAATCTATAAATAAAAAAAATGGCAAAAAGAAATCATACCTGTAGTGAGAGAATGTGGGGAGAAGTGAAGAAGAGTAGGGGGTTGGGCTTGACCCTTGGGGAATTTGGGTTGGGAATTTGGAGAAGAGGGAGATTGAAGAAGATGGAATTGAAGAAAGGGAGTTAGGGTTGGGGGAGATTTTTTTCTGCGTTGGGGATTTTCAGTGAAGAGTGAAGAGGACGGGAGTTATTAGATTGGGGGAGGGGGGTTAATAGTTAGGGGAAATAACTTAAACAATTATACGAAATAAAATAATAAAAAATATTAAGTAAAAAATAATAAAAGAAAATGTTAAGTTAAACAGGCAGAACTAGCGCGGTCGTAGCGGTACGAGCGCGGTCGCGCTAGTCAAAACAGTGTACTTGGCCATATGCGTGGTCGCGCTTCTAGCGCGGGCAGTAGTGCGTTCATATTGTAGTCGCGCTAGTGATGGAGAAGCTGAGGCAGAATGTTTGCCCATATGCGTGGGTAGTAGCGCGGTCGCACTCCTGGGCACGAAAATTTTCCATTTTTTCACCTGTTTTTTCACGTCCGATGGACTTATCACCTGCCCAAGCTCACCTGCATTAGTTAGTCCTTCCTAAAATCAAAATTAACAACTACTAACTATCATTGGGTTGCCTCCCAACCAGTGCCTTAGTTAATGTCGTGGAACGATGATTACAACAAATCAATGGGTTGCCTCCCATGCAGTGCCTGATTTAACGTCGCGGCACGACTTAGATAAGCGCATTTAAGGCTCGCTCGACCTTTGAGGTTCAGTCATATGGATCTTTGACACTTCCTTTGGTTCATTCATGCCCACATATAGTTTCAATCTCTGCTCATTGACTCTGAATGTATGAGAGTCTTTCTCTGAGGCAATCTTTACGGCACCTGAGGGGAATACTTGGACCACTAGAAATGGTCCAGACCATCATGACTTGAGTCTTCCCGAAAATAGCCTTAATCTTGAGTTATAAAGCAATACCATGTCTCCTGGATTGAAATTTCGCTCAACAATGTTCTTGTCGTGTAACCTCTTCATTCTTTCCTTGTACAACCTTGTGCGCTCAAAAGCAAGATATCGGAACTTGTCGAGCTCATGCAATTTTGTGACTCTAGTTGTTTCTGTAGCCTCAATGTCCAGATTCAGCTGTTTCATTGCCCACCAAGCTCTATGTTCTAGTTCCACTGTCAAGTGACAGGCCTTCCCGAATGCTAACTTGTATGGTGACATGCCAATTGGTGTTTTGAACGCAGTTCTGTAGGCCCAGAGTGCATCATCTAGCTTTTTCACCTAATCAGTTCTTGTGGCATTCACAGTCTTGGTCAGTACACTCTTTATCTCTCTATTAGACACTTCAACCTGTCCACTAGTCTGAGGATGATACGGGGTTACCACCTTGTGGCATACATCGTACTTTGCTAACAATTTCTCGAAGGCTCAATTGCAGAAATGAGTGCCTCCATCATTGATAATAGCTCTCGGGGTCCCGAAACGGGTGAATATATTCTTCTTCAAAAACCCCCACCACCACTCTTGCATCATTGGTAGGAAGTGTTGCAGCTTCCACCCATTTGGACACATAATCTACAGTAACAAGTATGTACTTATTGCCAAAGGAGCTGACGAAGGGGACCATGAAGTCTATCCCCCAGACATCGAACACTTCAACCTCTTGAATTGGGTTCATGGGTATCTCATGGCGACGGGAAATGTTCCCGGTTCGCTGACATTCACTACAACCCTTCACCCATTGATGTGCATCTTTAAACATTGTTGGCCAGTAGAACCCGGCTTCTAGCACTTTCGCGGCCATCCTGAATCCTCCAAAATGCCCGCCATATGCTGATGCGTGACATGCCTGCAAAATAGAAGATTGTTCTATCTCGGGGACACACCTCCGGATCATATTGTCAACAGATATTCGAAACAGATAAGGTTCATCCCAGTAATACATGCGGCAGTCACGATAAAACTGTCTTTTGCATAGAGGAGAGGTCATAAGGAACTATACCGCTTGCCAGGTAATTTGCAAAGTCTGCATATCATGGCACTTCCTCAAGGCTTGTAGCGAGTAGTTCCTCATCTGGAAAGGTTTCCAGAATATCCTCAACCTCAATTGAGTTTTTAGCTCCTTCAAGTCGTGATAGATGATCAGTGACTTGGTTTTCTGTGCCATTACGGTCACGAATTTCGAGGTTAACCAAACAAATCAGGCGCGGTTTGGACTCCTTATTCTCAATCAAGTACCTGAGAGCTGCATGATCAGTATATACAATTACCTTAGAGCCAATCAGGTATGATCTGAACTTGTCGAATGCAAACACCACAGCCAGCATCTCCTTTTCAGTCACAGTGTAGTTCAGTTGGCTCCACTCAGCGTTCTACTAGCATAGTAGATTAGGTGCATTAGCTTGTATTTTTGTTGTCCCAGCACTGCCCCCACTGCATAGTCATTGGCGTCACACATGAGTTTGAATGGTTGCTCCCAGTCGGGGGAGACAATGATGGGTTCTATGACTAGCCTCTTTTTCAACTCCTCGAATGCTACCCTGCAATCATCAGAAAACAAGAAAGGGTGATCTTTTTCTAACAACTTACAGAGAGGGTTGGCAATTTTTGAGAAATCTTTTATAAATCTCCGGTAGAAACCAGCATCCCCAAGGAAGCTCCTGATTGCCTTGACTGAAGTGGGGGGTGGCAGCTTTGCTATCACGTCAACTTTAACACGATCCACCTCGATTCCCTTGCTTAATACCCGATGTCCCATGACTATGCCCTCTTGTACCATGAAATGGCACTTCTCCCAATTAAGTACTAGGTTAGTCTCAATACATGTTTTCAACACTCGGGTCAGATTTATAAGGCACTCGTCGAATAAGTTTCCCACAACTGAGAAATCATGCATGAACACCTCCATTATGTCTTCAACCATGTCAATGAATATGGCCGTCATGCACCTTTGGAATATGGCGGGTGCATTGCATAGGCCAAACGGCATCCTCCGAAAAGCATAAATACCATATGGCCATGTGAAGGAGGTCTTCTCTCTGTCCTCTAGTGCAACGGAGATTTGGTTGTACCCTGAGTACCCATCCAGAAAACAGAAGTGGGACCTCCCTGCCAGTCTGTCAAGCATCTGATCAATGAAGGAAAGTGGGAAGTGGTCTTTCCGGGTGGCCAGATTCAATTTTCTGTAGTCCATGCAAATTCTCCAGCCTGTGACGGTTCTTGTAGAGATCAGCTCATTGTTATCATTTTTTATCACCGTCAGACCACCCTTCTTAGGAATACATTGCACCGGGCTAACCCAGTTGCTGTTAGAGATGGGGAAAATGATTCCCGCATCCAACCACTTAATCACCTCTTTCTTCACCACTTCCTTCATGTTGGGGTTCAGCCTTCTTTGGTGTTCCCTGGAAGGTTTGTGCCCCTTTTCCAGCAGAATTTTGTGCATACAATATGCCGGGCTGATCCCCTTAATGTCTGCCATGGTCCACTCAATGGCAGTCTTGCACTCCTTGAGTATCTGCAAAAGTTGTTGTGCCTGCACATCTAACAAACTTGATGAGATAATAACAGGTAATGTGGAGTTAGGTCCTAGGAACTCATACTTGAGATGGGCGGGCAGTGGCTTCAACTCCAGCTTTGGTGGTTCTTCTATGGATGGCTTGGCTGGAAGAGTTTCTCTATTTTCTAAGAGTAGGGGCTCGAATTCAAGTGTTTTATCCCAAAACACTCTGCCCTCTAAGCCAGCACCCATTCTGCAAATTCTTCCTCATTCACCTCATCTAAATTTACCAGACATACAGCAAGAGGGTCCTCAATAGTCAACGTCTCATCATCTGCTTCTACGATTACATCCACTGCATCAATAAGAGAACAATTGGCGAATTCATTTGGTCGCCTCAGATTTCTGCACATTGGATGTTATCTCCTCATCGTTCAACCTCATCTTGAGCTCCCCAGTTTCACAATCAATGAGAGCTCAACCTGTGACCAAGAACGGCCTTCCCAAAATTATGGGAATGTCTTCATCCACCTTGCAATCTAGAATCACAAAATCTGCAGGGAACACAAATTTCCCTACCTGAATCAACACATCATCCAAGATACCAGAGGGTCTTTTTACAATTCTGTCAGCCAGCTGCAATAACATAGAAGTGGGTATAGCTCTTCCAATCCCCAACCTTTTATACATCTCCAAGGGCATAAGATTTATGCTAGCCCCTAAATCACAAAGTGCCTTGGCAAAATCAAAGTTACCAATGGTGCAGGAAATTGTGAAACTCCCTATGTCAGATAGCTTCTCAGCAACTGGTCTAGTCACCACAGCACTGCAGGTCTGAGTAAGTCACTGTGGCCAAATCTTGGAAATTAAATTTTCGGGACATCAAGTCCTTCATCATTTTTGCATAACCAGACATCTCCTTCAAGGCATCAATCAATGGAATATTTACCTAGATTTGTTTTAGCATCTCCAAGAATTTCTTGTATTGTTCCTCTTTTTGGTACTTGTCCAGCCTCTATGGAAACGGTGTTGGAGGTCTCTTCTTCCCAATGATTTGGGTATTTTCTTTTTTAGGCACCACCTCAACTACCGGTTCCCGGGCTGCCTCAGCTTCTTTCTCAACCTCAATCTGTGTGTTGGGTTCTTCATGGGTAGGCTGTACTGTCACCTATGTTAGTTTTGTTGAATCATCTAGCTCAATGTGCACTGGTACAAGTGTCTCAGTTTGTCTGCTTTCTCGAGCCCTGTCTTTCTCCAAGTCTAAGTTTCTGCCATTACGTAGACTCACTACCATCAGCTGCTTCGGGCCTTGATCTTTTGGATTTATCTGAGTGTCTACAGGCAATGTCCCATGAGGACAATTATTCAAAGACATCGATATCTGGCCCGTCTGCACTTCAATATTCTTTATAGATGACTCATGTGCATCTACCCTTTCACTCATTTTTTCATTTGACCCAATAACCTGCTGCATCATTGCCTCGAGTCTGGCAAACCTATATTCCTGCCTTCCACTATGCTGTTGCTGAGGAGGATGATAACCCTGCTGCTAATTTTGATTGTTATATCCTTGTGGCCTTTGTAAGGCGCCATATTATTGTGAGGTCACATACCTCCCATATTTCCATTGTTGAGTTGTGGTTGGATTGGCCTGTATGGCTGATTTTGTTGGCCCCAATTCTGACCACCCTGTCTCTGGCCTCCATAATTAGACACATAATTCATGTCCTCGGGGTAATGATGATGCTCACTTTCTGCATTCCAATGGTTACCAATTGGCTGACTAATGCAAGATGTGCATAAGCCCCCATTGGTAGTATCAACAATGTGTACCTGCTGCTTCTACCCTGACTCTTCCACCTTTTTGGTGAGTATACTGATATGCGTTATTAATGTGGCCATATTTTCAGCAAGAGTGTTGGATGGATCTAAGGGCACTGAGTGAACTACTAGAGTGATCGGTGCATTCCTGGTTGTCCACCCCGAATTCTGTGTCATTTTGTCAAGCAGACTCTAGCTTTCTCTCCATGTTTTGCTCAAAAATGCTCCACCAGCTGAAACATCAATATTAGCCTTTACGCTATCTGTCAAACCCATGTAAAACCGCTGCCCCAGCATCTGATCTGGAATACCGTGGTGCGGACATATAACTAACATCCCTTTGAATCGTTCCCACGTTTCTTGCAATGTCTCCATTGATTTCTATTTGAAGCTCAAAATTTCATCAATTTGTTGAGCAGCCTTGTTGGGTGGATGAAACGTATTCACAAATTGCTTGACTAACTCCTCCCAAGTCGTTATGGAATTAATGGGAGCGAGTTTAGCCAAGTCTGGGTAGCTCCTGTCACTGAGAATGGAAACAACAGCAGCTTTATTGCTTCCTGAGTTACGTTGGACTGCCTTTGAGTTTTGAAGATTGACAGGAAATTCTTCAAGTGTTGTTGAGGATCTTCAGTATATGACCCCGAAAATAGTCCCTTGTTTTGCAACAAGTGCAGCATGTTATTCGTGATTGAAACGACTCGGCATGTATCTGCGAAACTAATATTGTTGTGGCCAAATTCTCTGTTGTGGGTTGTGCCCAGTCATATAAAGCAGCCTCTGGCACAAGAGGTGCCACTGGCGCAAATGGCGCAGCTGGGTCTAACACATTATCCCCCATGTCTGGTTCGATTTGTTCAGTTGATTGTTGTTTTTTTTTTTGGTTGGCCCAATTAAAGGCCTTGAAAACTTTCTCGGGATCTGATAATGCTTCGAATACTTCACTAGTTCTCGATGAGTTTCTAGGCATGCTTATGTACAACCAAGTCAACAAACGTTAAAATTTCAATGTATAGATTGAAAATAAAGAACACTGACTACACTAAGTATTTTTGTATTTCTTTCAACTGTAATTGATAACACCATTAATTCCCCGACAACGGTGCCAAACTATGTCTTATAAAAAGAACAAAGCGGTCGCTGCAAATATAATCCGAGTATTTAACCCAGAGTCGAATCCACAGGGAATTAACCTACCAATTACTCTTGTTAGACTCAATAAATTCTTCGTAATCAACTTTCCAAATATTTTGAATAACAATTGGAAATGTTTTTACTAACTATAACTGAATAGAAACAAGTAACTAAAAGCTAACTAAGACTGGGTTGTATGCAAATAAGGGAAAGATCTAAGGTTGTGATTTCCCCTATTGATGGAATCCCTTCCTATTATGTTTCACATAGATTTGCTTAATCGTTTCTATCAATAATGAGCACTTTTATTACCGTAAATCTCTCCCGAGTAATCACGATAATTTACTAAACGCGCTCTCCCGAGTTACGCTAGCTGGCTTTTATTGCAGCTCACTTTAGAACACACCCAAGGTTTCGTTATCCGTAATCCCGCTTTTAAACCATCGATTATTGATCCCTCATATATTTTGGAAGTGGTGTTGTTTAACAATTACATAAATATGCACTCTCTCCCGAGTAATACATACTAAATAGGCAAAGCTAATTAAGGATCCTATCAATTAACTGCAACAAGAACGTAGTTGAACAAATAGAGATTAAACCGGGCAAAATATATTAACATAACACAAAGTTTATCCTTCAATAGGTTCCATCAAAACCCTAGACTAAATATTTAGCTACTCATAGCAAAGCAAGATAAAACCACAAAAGTATTCATAATGCGCAAATAAAGATAACAAAGAGAATAATGAAAAACTCTAATAGTTGATTGCTTTTCTCACACTTGTTCTTTCCTCCAACTCAGTCTAAAAACCTTGATAATATCCCTTTGGGCAAGCTGGACCTCTTATAGGTTAAGTGGAATTACCCTCGAACTTCCAAGTTTACCCCTGAATTATGTTTTCCGAACTGGACTAGCGCGGTCGCACTAGTGGGCGCGCTAATGACCGCGCATATGGCCTAGTATTCTGCCTCGAATTCCTGGGCTAGCGCGGTCGCGCTAGTGGGAGCGCTAAACTGGATCATCATTTTAGCTCTTCTTTTCTCTCTTCTTTCAACGTACTCAGCTCCGAGGGGCTTCCCTTGCTTTAATTTAGCTCCAATCACTGTCCTATGTCCTCATAAGCGCAACTCGCTCCTGCAAAACATGAAATTCACAATTAGAGTCAATTTATCGTCATTTAACTATCCTAGAACAGTGAAACATAGTTAAGCTGAGACATAAACAGTCGCCAAATTACATGAATCTAGCCTATTATCAGCAAACAATGTCTCAATTTTTCAACAGCTAATAACAAGGCAATGTGCTTTGGTTGAACTACACCCACGTCAGTACCACTCACATCCAATTCAACCATAAATAAATAGAATTGTAAAGTCTAGCAGAGCTAGAACAAGGGCTTGGATCATTGCATTTTTAAGTTCATCAACTGCACTAGCTGCTTGATTATTCCAGTTAAATCCCCCTTTATTCAGAAGCTCAATTAAAGGCTTACCAATTGCAATCCTTTGAATGAATCTTCTATAACAAATTGTGAGTCTAAGAAAACCCATTAATTCCTTGATTTTTTTAGGATAAGGCCAACTGACTATTGCCTCAAGTTTGGCTAGGTCAGAGCTTATACATTGCCCAGAAATAATGTGGCCTAAGAACTCTACTTGGACCTCTGTGAAAATGCACTTAAATAATTTAGCAAATAGTTTGTTGGCTCTTAATAACTTAAAGACTTCGGTTAAGTGCTGCAAATAGTCTTCCATGTTGACACAGTAAATAAGGATGTCATGAAAGAAGACAACAAACTTTAGGAGGTGAAGGCCAAAAACCTTGTGCATCATCGCCTAAAATATGACTGGGGCATTAGTTATTCCGAATGTCATTACTTTAAACTACTAAAGCCCATGATGATTCCGAAAGGCTTCTTGAATTTATCACCTACCCTTATCCTAACTACATGATAACCCGACCTTAGATCCATTTTGGAAAAAGAACTTAGCTCCATTTAGCTCATCCAAGAGGCCCTCAACCGCCAAAATGGGGTATTTATTGTTTATGGTAATATCATTCGATTTTCTATAAGGAATACAAACCGCCAAGTTAGGTCCTTTTTTTACCAAAATAACTGGTGATGCAAAAGAGAGGTGCCAGTAGCAATTATTTGGGCTTCCATCATCTCTTTCACCATCTTTTCAATAGTGTTCTTTTGTCCAGAAGAGTATCTATATGGCGGTAGGTTAACATGTTTTGATCCTGGTAACATTTTTATGGCATGGTCACAAGGTCCGTGAGGGAGAAGACCTTTAGGCTCCTGAAAAATATCTAAAATTCAGTCAACAAACTCTGGACATGACTGGATGGCGGGGTATTTGCATCTATACCCGCTTTTTGAGTCACGTTTTAACTTATACCTGCTTTGCGGAAAAAAAAATTGCAAGCGTACCCACTTTTTCGCGTAACTTCAGCATACGAGCCTGAAGTAGCAAAGGCAATCACGCAAACTTCAGCATTCTAGTAGACGGGCCTGAAGTACCAAAAATTGATGAACCAAGTGTGCTGAAGTTTTATTTGTAATTGCTGAACTTCAGCATGTTTTAGCTGAAGTTTTTCACGTAAACTTAGTGTTAGCTGAAGTTTTTGTTTGCAATTGATGAACTTAAACATTCTAGTAGCTGAAGTTTTATTTTCTATTTGCTGAACTTCAGCATGTTTTAGCTGAAGTTTTATTCTATATTTGCTGAATTTCAGCATGTTTTATGCTATCATGTAATTGATTTTTTGTACAGATAATAAGATTATCATAAGTAGAATAGTAACTTAAAAAACTAGATAAATAATTTAGCACAACAGGTTAAAATGCATTGATAATGTACAAAGCTGAATCCAACACGTTACTATTATCTTCTTCAAAACTTACTTTAGAAAGTTATTTATAACTTGTTTTAAAATAATTTGATAAACATACTTATAGCAACCATCCCTATGAACTAAAGTTTCATAGCAGCACCAACGACAACAGAAGAAAGAGAAAGAGGGCTGAAATTGTTTAAAAAATGGGTACAAGTTAAAACTTTTTTAAAAAATGGGTATAAGTTAAATGGGAACGATCAAATAGGAAGCCCTGTGCAATTTTTACCTGGATGGCTCGGTGTTTTGTTCTTTATCCTCCAATTTTGACAATTGGGCTGACATTGTAGTCTGGCCCATTTTCAACAACTTTTGTAAGGACTTAATGTCACCTAATTAACTTAGGTCGGTAATATTGCACCCACCAGAGTAATTAGTTGTCTCCTCGTAAAAAGAAAATATTGTGGGGCATAGTGTGCAATATTATGGGAGCCATAGTTGTCGCGCCCGTTTTCTCGCGAAAGTGGGTTTTGACGTGTAACAACTCTTTTAAATGGCTATTAAAAGAGAAGAGTGTCACCTAACAATTTTAAGGTGCATTAGGGCACCTATTTGCAAGTAAATTTGATTAGAACTAGTCTGTGCCACTAAAGATTGGGTAAGGGCTCAAATTACCTCGA